TAGAATAAGACCAAAACACAGACCTATATCTATAGAGGTGAATTTTGAAAATAAAAATTTTAAATATACAGATATAATATTTATTTTTTATCAAGCACTAAATATTTATTTATTACATATAAAAATTATTTTAATGTTACTTTTCATGAATAGCAATAACTAATGATGATATTAATGATGATCAATTGAAAAAAAATGGATTAAAGCTCTTAAACAATGCTATAACGAAGATAGAAACATGATTGAAGATTTTATAAAGTCATTGGAAATTAACCAAAATATGGTTACATCAATATGTTTTGAACATTGATATATTTTATATATTAATCTTTGCCTGTCTAAGTTTCTTAATGTGATATACTTGTTAAAATCTGGATTCATTTTTTGATGATTTAATATTTTAATTTTTCTATTTATAAATATTTTTAAACTAGTAAAATTTGAAATGTATATTTATTAATGCATTTTTTGTATTAATTAATTAATAAAAAAACAAATTTATATTACGTTTCATATTATGTCTTTACTTTATAAGGTTATTTTAATTGATTTATATTTCTTAAAAAACAATACATATTATTCTGACTAAATAACAATAATTAATCAATTTCTGAATTAATTATTATCAGTTTAGTATTAAAAATTTTGTTCATTAGTAATTTAACAAAATATGCAACTTTAATAACTAAAGTAACTTTGATGATTTTTGCTAAATCTAGAACTGAAAAATAACATTAAACACATTACAAATTGGAATTATCATTAGATTTAGACACCTTGTTTTATATGAACTAGAGGTGTAAACTATAAACTATTAGTTAATATAAATAAACTGTATTGTAAATAATTCAATTTATTCACAAATAATTCATATTTCAATTCATTGACATTGTATTTAAATAATTCATATTTAAATTGAAAAAAATCCAATTATCTATATTGTACAAGAGTGTTAAAACTAAGATAGATTGCCAATGAAAAAATTTTAATTATGCATATTGTGACAATTAGGTGCTTGCTATTTTATAAACCCATATTTCCTATATATTGTACTGTATTAAAATAAATATCAAAATGAAATTAACAAAATTAACAAAAGATTGTTATTTAGAAGTTATCAAAAACTTTGAATATGATCACCAAACTTTATATAATTACCTCTTAGTTAATCACTTACTTTGTCACATTATAGTGCCTCTGTTATGGGCTGACTCTTTATATAATATTTCCAAACATTCTATAAATATCATATCTATTTATCTTTTCTATCTTAATAAAAATAAAAAATATCAATTTACTTCGAATATGAATCAAGTTGATCTATCATGTATTTTTCAAAAAACATTTGAATATGCTGATTTTTAGAAACTTATTCTAGCTGCAGAATAAAAAAAAGTCATCTCATTGTGACATAAATATACTCAAAATATGTTTAAAACTAGTTTAGAAATTACATTTTCTAAAAAATATTGATGTTTAAACTGTATAAATTCAATTGTATAAAATTGACCAATCACACAAATTTAACAAATCACATGTTGACAATTAATAGTAGGAAGATTAAACCTTAGTTTATCTCCAACAGCCTCTGGAAGCTGTAGGTGAATGACTTCATAATCACACATGAGATACAAAAAGGTGATTGCAGAGAAGCATAACAATTATAAAGGTTAAATATATTATATTTATTAATAGTTTGCTTTAAAAAAATGTGCTACTAATTGTAAGATTAAACCTTGTTATCATGACTACATTCCTGTTCCAAAAGATTTGTAAAAAAGGTAAAGGAGTCATAATAAAGAAAAACAAAAAACATCTTTTTATCTTAAAAACTTATTTATTAATATTTTGAAAAGGTTTAACAGCAACTTTATAAAATAATATATTAAAAAAAAGTGATAATTAAAGATATTGTTAAAATGATATTAGAACTAATAGAAATTGTATTAAAGTTTATTATCTTGTTTTCAAGTACCATTTTTTTTTAGCGCTAAATCAATAAGAAAATCATTTATTTGTTTTATAAATTAATGTCATAAGGTAATTAAAATAACAGAAGAGGAAAAATAGCAAAATAAGTTTATCGCTATTTAAATACTTTTATAGCTTTTTGCTAGCAAGGGTCTCCAAGGCCTTGATTAAGCATTTCTATTCCTTAAAAAAAGTGTTTAAATATTAGCTGATAACTTAAATTTTTATGATAATATATAGTATAATATTATAAAAATATTATAAAAATAAAATAAACTAACCTCATTTTTTTCTATAATTCTTTAAAAATTTTCTTCTCCATTGCATTTTTAATATTTTTTCTTAAAATTTCGATACTTCAAGTAAATTTTGAAAAATTACTTGCATCTTTTTGTAAGATAAAAGAGTAAATTGACATATTCTTTTTTACTATTATTGTTATAATAATGATTCAATATCAAGAATGTTTATAAATATATGAAAAAGACTAGTAGATGGTTTTTTTTATGCAACTACCTTATATTCTACTTATTATCTAAATCTTAAATGATTTAATTATTTTGTAATTTCTGATAATTGTAATTGAAATTTAATTTCAACAACAATAACAGATCATACAATTCATTCAATTATTTTTACAATTATTTATTAGAATAATAATATTCAAATTATAAATAAAAGTATAATTATATTTGAGATTAAAGATGCATTTATTATCCATTTTTCTTATCTGAATATCTAAGTCATAAAAAAATTCAGAAATTAACCATAATTAATTTTGCTTTTCCAGCTTCAGAGGTACTTCAAATAGACCATCACAACATTTTGACATTAATAATTAACCTTGGATGTCTACACAATATATTCAGTTGCAAATAATAGATTTGCCAATTTGTAACACTAACCTATAAAAATAAAATAATAATATAATCAAATACATATGTTCTATATCATTATGCTTATAACCCTGAAGAACAATTATTTACAATTTAAAGGCACCACAACTAATCAATTAATTCTTAAATCAATTAGGTACAACATACTCTTAATTACTAAACATACTTATTATATTGATAGATATTTACAAAAAAAGAAACTGTTAATATTACATGACTATTTTAATTAGTGAGTCTGGTCTTAATGTAATTATTAAACTACTCCTAATTGATCAACTAATTTATTAAAAGTAGCATACATAATGTGATGTTTCAAAACTTTTGAAATTTAAAAAAAAAATTTTAAATAAAAAACATTCAAACTAATGATGTAATTAAGTAAATGCTATTATTTAGTACGTTTGATGAATTGTAGCATAAAAAAAAAATCTAAAAAAAATAGTAATTATTATAACATAACCAGTAACCAAATTTTCTTATTATATCTATTTTTTGTAACTTCCTGCTGACATTTATAAAAGGGAAGCATTAAAAATTTAATGCTTTAAAAGTAACTAGATTGCTATGTTATCATTATCTTTGTAATTTAACAGATCCATGGGTCCACAAATTCGCATGCTAAAAACTATAACATTAACATAACAATGTCAATAAATTTATTTATTCTTCACAAAAAAGTTCTATCTAAATATTAAAAAAATGCACTTCCAAATAGATTATTATCATAATACTAAAAAATTATTAGCATGATGTTACACAAGTGTATAGAGTTAAATGTAGAGTAAATTAGAAAAATTCAAAACAAACATTCCAAGAACTAATATAAGAAGCCACTCTTTAAGTTCATATTATGCAAGTATTGGTATTGTTTAAAATAAATTGAATTTCCCTAGGTTTTATGGTTAGTATCATGACTTCTATATAAGCTTTTATACAAAAGTTTATGAATTGAAAATAAATTCACTTTATTCAATAGAGTTCTGCTATTATTGTCTTTGTTTTATAATACTTAATAATACTACTATAAATTTATTATAAATATGATCTTATCGTTATTTAAATAATTCATTAATGAATTATGCCTCATTTATTTGTAAGTAAAAATACAAGACATCTTCACAAACATGAAGATTCCACAAAATCTCTTTGTGATTACTTTGAAAAACAAATAAAAATTTTTTCCCAAATCATAAATAAACTACACTCACAAAAAATAATCATTCAAAAAGAAAATCAATATAATTTTAAGATTATTTTGGTAGAAAGCGATCATGAACTTAAGATTAGAATTTTAGATGATAATGAAAGTGAATATGACTCTTAAATTCAAAATTTAAATAATGAACTTCATGTCTTAAAAAATAATTATGCTGATTTAGAGAAACTATATGAAGATTTACAAAAAAAAAAAGATCAAGAAATAAAACTTTACAACAATGCCTAGGGAATTTAGAAAAAAAATTAAGGAAAAAAAAGATTAAGTAAAATTAATATTCAAGTTAAATTTATTTTTTCAGTCAAAAAACTGATAGACTTTTAAAATTAAATTTACTATGCTATAGGAATTAAAACCAGTTTAGTCTTTTTTTATATTTAATTTATTTTGTTATCATTTTGGAAAAGATTTATGTGAACTTTCTTAATACTGTAATATCATTAGTAATAAAACCCAATTAAAAAACTGATTTTAACTCATCCTTACAAAGATCTAATGCATTACATTTATCTTTGTATATGAATTTTATATTTATCATCACTAAAATCATCAGAGAATTAAGTATTTATGATGCATGAATAATGACAACTTTTATTTTAGTGTGAATAGAGTATCCAGATTATGTGAATTCGATTTGGTATTGTTGTTAATCAATTGAAAAATCACTGAAACTGTTTAATCTTTACTAAGATTACATTGATTGATGAATTAAAATCAGGTAATAATTTATTAGTTCCATCTATCTTTTTGCTGATGTTGTAATGATTTGTTAATAATTAATTATATTAGCCATCAATTTAATAATAATAAAAAAATATAGATATTAAACCATCTATTTTTTAACGTTAACAATTTCTGAAATTTCTTACTTTATTTTTCGTTCTTTTTGAAATTTTATAATCATCATTTACTGTCTGTTAACCTTTCTTCTCTTCCAAATTTAATATATCATTTTCACTTGCATGGGCATCAGACATGAGTTCATTAACTTGTGATAATCTGTCACTATCTAGATTCTAAGTTTTATTTTAATAGGATTTTAATATTATTATGCAATTGGTTAATAAATATGACAGACTGATTAAACCGAAATCAGATTAAAATGAAATTTAGTATAGTGTAAAACAAGGAAGCCATCGAAAAGCATTTTTTTAGAGTTAGAGACTTTAAATTTTATTTAAAACCAATTCATTATTATCTGCGACAATAAAAATATAATATTTTAATATTGAATATATAATAGATTCTTTCTCTTCATGCCATTTAGATCATTGATGATTTTTCGATAAGTTTCTTCAGAAATTAGAACTGCCCTAGGTGCATTCAAGTTTTCAGTATTCTTAGTGCTGTCACTTAAATAAATTGCTGCTGAACATGATTGGGTATTAAAAACAATTTCCTTAATTGCTCCATCAATAGCTTCCCATATAAAATTGATCAAATTTCTAATATTATTCTTTTTATCTCCTATAGTTTTGACTATTTTCATAGTAAAAGATGAAAAATCAATATGTAAATATATTTATCATTCTATAACAAATTATTTATATTTACAATTTGACTATATTCATATCTTATGAGTTTTTTTTATTAAAAATTTAATAATGATGATGTCTACTAATATATCTTCTGATTTTTAAATTATGTTGATCATAAAATTTTCTTAAATGAATTTGTCGCTTTGAGAATTAATAAAAGATACTATTTCAAAAAAATGATAAATTACATTGTTATACTATAATAAAAACCAAGGAAGATGCTAAGTTAGTATTGAATAAATTTACTGAAAAACTGATGGAACATCAGCATAAAGTATCCAAAAATTATTTATTTTTTCCTTTATTATAAATAATTGAGATGAAAGATTTTATTGATACATTTCGAGAAACACAAGAATTAGATATGCTTAAAATTTTTTATAACATTAGTCGGCCTGAGTATTATTTTGATGATTTAGAAAGATGCTATTAATATATAAAATTCAAGTTTAAAATTAGAAATTAAATAATGAACTTGATATTTTTAATATGTTTAATAATTGATTGATTCATAATATTTTTCAAATTATTTAAATCAATATCAAGTTGTTGAATATAAAATTTGGGTTTAAAATTTGAACTATTATTATCAGTATTGAATAGTTAGATACATAATTGTAAGGTGTATAATCATAGAGTGCATAATTGTAAGATGCATAATTATAAGATATATAACTTTGAAACAGATTAAGTCTTCTTAAATATTTTTTTTGTGATTGTACTTATAGTTGGATATAAATGACCATGAATCCTCTTTGCAAATTCTGACACTTTATTATAAATTTTTACAATATCACAGATGTTAATGTTTTCCTATAACTTGTAGATAAAAATTTTATCTTTCTATAAATTGTTGGTGATATTTGAGACAATTTTTATATTATTTTCTTGATTAGGACAAGAAATCCAATAAGTAGTAAAATCTTTTCGAAATATTACAAAACCATTTTGTGCTCTTGACAGATTGTTTTTAGTTTTTTCTCTTCTGAATTAGGAAGCAATTAATTCACTTAAAGAAAGAAAGGTCTTTGATCTAATGTTATTGAATTCATAAATTTCTTTTGCAAAAATTTCATTAATATTATCTTCATTAATAGTATTTTTAATTTCTTTACTTTGTAATAACATTATTAAAAATGTCAGTATGCTAACGAAATAATGAATATATATTCTGTAAATATTGATCATAATTATTTAATGAAATTATTAAATGATCAGAAAATTTATCGTAATGTTAAGAATCAGGAACTAATACTGTATTTAGGTTAGTTCAGCAAGTAAAGATTTCATAAATTTTTGATTACTAATACATGACTTGATATTCTTGTTTTACCAAACAATAAAACTCAACTTTTATGACCCATGTGATATTTGATTCACTAACTAAAGTTTGCAAGAGAACCTCAAAATTTCAATGAAGGCAAATTTGACTGAGAACCTTTCTGAGAACTTTTCCAAAACAAGATCCTGAATTAGAAATATTTTTCAGAGATCAAATTTTATTATTTGAATAAAAAAAGCTAATACTTTAGAAATGTTTTACTTCTCTGTAAACAAAAAGATTGCAATTCCGTTAGTGTCAAAAATTCCGCACAAATATGCTATGCAACAATATAAAAATTATAATGACAATACATACACAATGAATTTTTAACACTATATTGCGCAGTTGATTATGAAATCAATTATTCAAGTTGACATGCAGTCAACAGATCAAAAAGATAGCTGAGCAGTGACGCCATGCCACTCTGGGCACATGATCAAGTCCCAGCTAGGACAGGGAGCGTGCGAGAAACCTGTATCATAAGAACACACTCGAACGCAGGTATGACCTTCTATCAGCTTCCCAATACAGTAATCATGAAGTAATCAACGATCCCGAACAAGATCAGGCCAAGTACAGATAAGTGTAACGCTACATAATGGATGCAAACCCATGTGCGTTTCTATGACTAAACTGAATTGCTAAACGTTGCATTCGCGTCCCTGTCCCACCCTCCCAGAATGACGGTAGGCTCCACAACAACAAAAAAAAAAAAAAAAAAAAAAGAGAAAGGGGGAAACTCACGAGGTATAAAGCAGGAATAGTTCGAATCCTGCCATTTTCGTTGCAACTGCTTATTTTTATTTGTTGGCCGGCCTGCGTTACGCAGGCGGGAAACCACTGGCCATTGCTGCGCCCATGCTGCTTCTGCTGCCTATAGGATACCCGGCGCAATCTCGATTGCTATTTTCCGGGTTCAGATCCTGTTTCAGTTTATTTGTACATCGATCGCAACTGATGTATGCATTCTTTAAATAAAAATTCATTTTCGGCACATGATGCCGGATTCGTCCAAATACAGTCACATGCGTGCAATGCTTTTCGTGACAGAGAAAGATCTTCTGATATAAAAAAATAGATACATCCCACCTCTAAGATAACTAAAAAAATACTTTTCATTCAAGCCGATCTGCTGAATTTTGGTTAATCAAATTAATGCTTATTCTTGTTTTTTTTTTTTTTCCTATTAAATATTTATTTGAAATATATAAATAGAGTGCTAAAGGCAGTGAGTCTCCTTCTGAACAAACGGATCAAAACGATTTTATAAAAAAATTTTTTAGAGTCATACAAAATAATCAACAGCAATTGGCAAAAATACAGCAACAGCTTAATGATATTCTAAATAATCAAAATGAAAGTGAGATAACTCCGTGGAAAAGTGTATATATTTTAATTATATATTTTATCTGGTTTTTTTGTTCTATAAAATTTATTTATTTCAAATTTTTTAGCATCGAAGCTTGCAATGTTGTTTAGTCTATACCTATGTCGTCTGTGAAATGATTTTTTTCTTTAAACGATTTTGATCTGATAAAATATGGGATACCGGGGAATCAGAGTCTGCATAAAGTTTGTCTCATAAATTGGTAGATCTATAAATCTATCATTCATCTGTAATTTCTCAAAGAAATTATATATTTATTATGATAATTTATATTGCAATATAGATATAAAAAACATTTTTTAAAAAAATATATATTGGGGTAAAGAATCTCGAATGTTGAGTTATGTAATTGAACATTGGCTAACCTCATTTTCAAGCTAATTCTAGCTCTCAAAAAAACACAAAACATTTCGTGTACTAGATCACATAACAAAAAGTCGGAGTATTATAGTGATTTCAAACAAAGTATTACGAATTTTTTTTTAAATCATCAACTTGCTTTGTCAGATCATTAATTTTTTTCTCAATTTGTCTAAGGTCAGGCTGTATTTCAGGAAGTTGGAGGGCATCTATAAGATTATTGGATAAGTATGGTTTTTTGTAGAAACTCAATTTATTGTTTTGAATGTCTATTACAATATTCCGAAGCTTAATTGTTTGTGCTTCATAGAAACTATTAATTAAAATATATACGTTAAAATATTTTCGCATACAATTTTTATATCATAATAACTTATACAACATATGGAAACCAGTTTTCTTTCCTTCTTTGATGAGGTAGCATATAAAGTAGCTCAATCTCAGTTAAAATCTGTATTATAGAACAAAATATTCATATAAATTTAATCGTTAAGATGGAAACTTTAATAAAGCAAAAAGCTATACCTCAGCTTTTAGAATTAAAAATGAATCCTTTGTACTGGTTTCACTAATCGCATTACTAAGCAACCCAATAAACAAATTCAATAAGTAAATTGTTGATAAAAATGAAAATGTAATAAATAAAATCATTAAAGTAGGGTTAGCAATTAAATTCCAGTTAGATGTTGATGATGTGTCTCCTATTAAATATACAAGGCTCAATACATCATTTTTAAATTTAGCACTTATGGTTATTAAGCGTTTTACCTGTAAGCATCATATAAACAACTAAAATAGCTGTGCCTATCTCTGCAAACATATTTGTAGCTGCAGCAGGGGATTTAATTAATGAAGGGTTTTCATTGTCATATTTTGTAACTAAATTCCATGGATCATTTTGATCAGAAGAATTACTTGGAAAAATTAAGGATACTTTGGTAGTAGGACGCAACAACAAATACAAAGAGTGTGCAAATGCAAATATAATAAGTCCAAATATCATCAAAAATGAAAATGCTCTTTGTGCTACACCAAGTATCATAGAAAAATAAACGCCAGAAAATTCGATTGCTCGAAAGAATAAAAGAAACTTGATTTCCAGCAGTAAATTACATATAGTTACCATTGGTGTTGGCATAACGTCGTTTCTAAGCCATATTATTGATGTTACAATTGGTAATAAAAATGCACCTAAATCTGTGTGAAATGAAAATAGCGCAATGGAAATTGGTAAAAATTAAAATGTAATAAAACAATAAATGTTTTAATTCCAAATGTATATTAAAGTTCACGTTACCAAAAAAATTCCATGCACTAGATGCATATAATAATGGAGAATAAATGAATTGGCGTATTTCAAAAATTAAATGCCAAACTCCAAGGCATATATTCACACTCAAAAGAATATTTAAGGTCCTCTGAGAAATGGTTTCGGATAATGTAGCTGCTATAGTGAAACTGCAAAGAAAAATCGTGTAAATTGCCCAAATGGCTAAATAATATTTTCTTCCATAAGTATTCCATTTAAACTCGAGCAGCGCCTCTCCATTAATATATTTATAGAACACATGATTAATCATTTCAACATTGGTGAAATGCGTAAAACAACTAGGTTTAGGTCGCCAAAATTCATTCCAGAAGTCGTAATTTTTAGGATAAGAAACGAAGTTTGGTAGGGGTATTAAAAGTTTAGTTGAAGTATTACTCGGATAATAAGCATTTACCAATGGATTTATAACACGATTTTTAATGAAAAAAAAACGTAGGTTTGTGATTTTCTTTAAAATTAGTCCAAACCTTGAAAATATCAGAAGTTAATATGTCAATGAAAGATGTTCTAGATAAATGGTAGTGTACTCCATAGCTAAATAAATGTGAAGAAGTTGGTCTTTGATCCAACAAAAGAGAAGGAAGAACAAATGCTATTTTAGTTAAAATGCTAGTTATAAACGCAGGATGACTTTCCAATAGCTTTGAAAAATAATTAAAATCAAAGATAATGCTTAACAAGGAAATTCTAAAAGTTGCGTGTGTATTATCCTTTACACACTCTTTAATGCATTTATCACCTAAAATTCGGATCAATGCGTCATCATTTAATAAAATAAACTTTTCCATAAGTTCTTTACCATAACAAGTAAAATAGAAATTTTCATAGACACTATCTTTTAAAAACTCACGAAAAAGATTTACTTTGTCTTTACCAAATTCGACATCTAAATTTTTACAGATTATCGCATAGCTTGAAGCTGGAAGAATTCTTTCTAAATTTTTATCATTAAAGATCTTTTCAATTTCTTTTTTAGAATTATCGGCATTTTCTAAATAACCATCCCAACTATTCAAATCCCAATCATTCCAATAATAATGAATCCTAATTTTTTCGGATTTGATAGTCCAAACAATTACACCAATGTACGTAATCATAACTAAATCATCGCTATCGAGAAGTTCGCATTGCAATATAAATTCTTTTCCGTTTTGATAAAAGGATGGAAGGATATCCTGTTGAACTTTTGCTAAGTACAAATTTCCTTCGAGTTTAGATGCTTTAAGCATAACAAAATCTTGGTGACATTCCAATTTCCATAGCAAAAAACGTCCTCTGAATTCTTTAAATTCAACATGTTTATCACTAATGCTTTCTAATCCGTTCTTTATCACTGTGATCGTCTTTCTAGATGGTGCTGTAATACTATTTGTATCGCCCAAATCTTTTCGCAGATAATCTATCCAATTATCATGCACCAATTCCTTAATTAATAATTTTTCACCATTTGAGTAAATAATTTTATCTGACTTAATTAAGAATGGCTCCTGAATTATATTTGTTTGACTGTATTCATTATTATTAATTTCAAAAAGTTTGCTTGCATCTATCTTATTTGTAAGCTTGTAAGGATCCATCAGAGAAAATTTTTGGTCTCGTGTTACAAGAAGTAATCTTTCTCCTTTTTCAGCAGCTATAAAATAAAATTTACCGGAATTTCCTTCACATTCAGCTAAAAAAAAAAATTGAGTATGAAAAATTCTACTTAATCGATAAGTTCATTAATATTGAAACTTAACTATATGCAAGATTGAATCCGGATGTTGTAGAAAACACATATAGTCGAGTTCTCATATTTTTAATTTTTTTAATTTTCTTTGCACAAATTAAAAGTAATCATTCGTCGTCACTAAGACAAATAGACTCGAGATAATAATCCCACTCTGTTAAGATATGAATATCGATTGATAATGATTCAATATTCCATATTGTTATCACATGAGTTGTGTTATTATAGATTACTAATTTTCCTTTAGGGGTTATATAAATTGATTGAAAATATTTCAGCTCAATCATTGACTTGCAAGTCCGGGTGATACTATCTTTGGTTTCAAAAACATAAGCTCTGTAATCTCTAGCATTTATCATTATAAGGTTTCCATTATCAATAAAGGATAAAAAGTCGATTTCTTTTCGCTGATCTCGGAAGCGTAATAAAACCTCATTATCAATCTCGGAATTATATATTGCTTAATTTTAAAACTATGAATGAGTATAAATATGCTAAAGTAATAAGATAAAATTCACAAATAACTTACTGAAATTGTATGGATTAGTTCTTATAAGCTTTATGGAGACTTCTTTATTATCTGAAACAGCAAAAAGTTTTGAACCTCTTGATTCTTTATCAATATCGTTAACATTGATTGAGATCATTCTTTTATATTATAAACACTGCATATCATCAACCAACCAAAAACTAATCTGATAATTTTTGTTTAATACTGCAATATATTTCATTTTAGGCGAGCAAACAATTTCTAAAATTTCTTCTGCTGCATGTTTATCTAGACGTTGGTCCATTTGAATGCTGTGACTTTCAGGAGTAGATGCCATTTCAAATTCTTTTCTGTAATATTCCGTTAATTTATTGAAGTAAAATAATGTAATAGAAATTATAGTTATGAGCTAAATAGTGCCAGGTTGCCGATTACAAATATTAGAATCGATTTAACTTTTAGAGACTATTTTAATCATTCGAGAATAGATTTTAGAAAAGGATCAGTTCTAATAGATTTGATTAATGATTAAATTGATTATGATCATATCGATATGAACTTTTTATACTATGAGTGTTTATTTATCATTATACATTATTTAACCGGTTATTCGGTTGATTTATCATTAACGTTAAGAAATGCCTGTAAAAGTAAACCAATCAAGTTATTTAAGTTATTTAAAACGCACAGAAGGTAGTATAACGATAAATGGTTATCAAATCGTAGTGATAACGACTCTTTTATGTCTTTAATAATACATGAGCATAACAATAGTTGTATAGTATGTTTAAGAGATGCGACTATGATAGTGAAATAAATGTAGAGTGCGTTTGTTTTGTTTGTCTTGAAACTTTAAGCCCGTGGCTACATTTTATGGCTGAGAACCTTATTAATAAACGGCGAGTCATTTAATAAATTTATAATTTACGATTTTTAAGCCTTGATATGATAATATAATATGCTTACATTGCAGTGGTGACGCGGAAAATTTTGAATACAATTTTTTCATTTAGCCTATTTTTCAAATTTATTCAAATATTTAAGAATTTAAATGAGCTAACACCGCAACTTCTGCATTTTACATTTAAATAAAAACGTGATGCATTGTGCAAACCAATTACTTGCATTAAAAGCCAATTAGTAATGGTAATATTAAATCAATGGCCTCGAAAGCTAATATTAGCTCGATTTAGAGTTAGGGTTGGCCTTTAGAGTTAGCATTGATCGGAATTAGGTGTCGGGAAATGATTGTCGAGAATTCGTATAACAACAAACCAACATTGAATTAGTCTAATCCGGATAGTAGAACCAAATAATGATCTGAAACGTATTTTCAAATGACTCAATTGTTCTGTAAATCAGATCAAAAGAATGATTTTAACATCTCTAGTTATAATATATGGAATTGCTTACAATAACCATTTTCATCAGCAAGTTGTTTTTTTTATAAACTTTATGTAGCTCTATAAAGTTATATAAATATTATATAAAATTTTTATATAAGTCTACAAACCCAACGTAGACTTATGTAATAAGAATTTTTATATGTATACTACATAATTTTTATTTATAATTTTATTTATTATTTAATCTATGTAAATTTTATTTATATCTATATAAAAATAACTTGATTTATTTTGGCTATTTCTCAAAAGTGACTAAGGTAATCACCGATCGATGCACTAAGTAAAAATGTTTAGCATGCTCGAAAACCCTAATTTAAACTTTAAAATCTAATCCTAGCTTTAATATTTAAGTTAAAGGTTTTTTGCTATTTTACATTCTATATAGAAATATACATAGGTTTATATAAATAGATATGTAAATCTACATTGGGTCTATAAAGTTTTTGTAAAGCTACATAAAACTTTTACATAATTCTACATAAAAATTCTACATAGATCTATGTAAAAATGTACTTGCTGATGTTATCCCTTTCTGGCTATGTCAGGAACGCGTAATTTGTGACCAAAAAATAACGATTAAGTATAATTTTCTATATTTCTAAACTTCTATTTCATTCTATTTTTATTGCCAGTTTGATAAATCAATTCGATAATGTACAACCAATAAGTTACAATAAATGGAGAACGAAAAATCAGTGAAGCATTTAGAATTACAGAGCTTGCAGAATTAACTATTAACAAAAATAACTTTTTTATACGGTACTTTATTCCGTCCTTACAATTATAAACATAATTATCTTTATTGTAAACATGAATTTATATTAACGAAATCTTTCAAATGAAATGTCGCATTTATGCAGAAAATAGAAATCTTACAGATTAAAAAATCGAAACAAATCTATTTGATATGTTCATATGAATGCCACAAAGTGAATTTTGGACTTATATGATTAATTAGAATTTTGATTTATTGCTAAATTTGTAGGGCAACAGAGTGACATCGCAAAGTCATTTTTTTTTTATAAAACTTATGTAGCTCTATAAAGTTACATAAATGTTATATAAAATTTTTATGTAGATTTACAAACCCAATGTATACTTATGTGGTTAGAATTTTTATAGATAATTTAATACAATATTTATGTAAATATTATTTAACATTTATATTTAATTTACTTTAGCTATTTCTCAAAAATGGCTAAGATAATCACGCTCGATGTACTAAGTAAAAATGTTCAGTATGTTCGAAAACCTTCCCCAAACCCTAATTTAAACTTTTAAATCTAATCCTAACGTTAATATTTAAAATAAAATTTTCTGCAATTTTACATAATTCTACATAGAAATATATATAGATTTATATAAATAGGGTTTATAAAGCTACATAAAAATTTTACATAATTCTACATAAAAATTCTACTTAATTCTACGTAAAAACAACTTCGTGCAATGTTTAACTTCGAACGTCCTTAATTAAATAAGTATTTAGTACAGTCGTCCCTCCATATAGTCACCTCCCATATAATCACATCATATGTAATCACATTTACGTTTGGGCTAAGCTACGATTTAATTTATAAGAAATAGCCCTCCATATAAGCACAACTCCTTTATAAGCACATTTTTTAAAAAAATTACCATGTGCCCAACTGTGTGATTATATGGGAGGACGACTGTATATCAATTAAGTCACTAATATAATCTTGAGACTTAGCTTCTATAAGACTCTTCGTTAAAGTCAGGATAAAGCCTGTATATAGAAGAATGAATTTAGTTGTTATAAAATACATTTTAAAAGCTTAGATAAATATATAAATTACGTCATACCGTTCGTAGCAATTTCCCACACAACCAATCCATAACTATAGATATCTATAAAACAAATAAAATAAAATAATTGGATTTATAAAGATTTAATCTTAATTATTAAAATGTACCTGAGAGATTAGGCTGATTTTTATAGAATTTTATCATTTTTTCGTTAAATATTTTTGATAACTTCGGGTTATTTGCATACTTTTGCTTAAATTTTAAGGAAGCAGAAAAACGTTCAGGTGCACACCACTTAAGTGACCCTAATGAATTAAACGGCCAATTGTAAACATTTTATTATATATATATATATATATATATATTATTATTTCTTATCCCCAGCTGCAATTCCAATGTCCAATTCAGCTTTTGTAATGCTTAAACCGAAATCAGAAATCTTTAATATCAAATTTTTATCTACTAAAATATTTTCAGCTTTTAGGTCTGAATGTATGATGTCATTATTATGGCATTCTAATAATCCATTTGCGATATCAACGGTCATTTTTGTTTTTGTATTTCAATCAAGACGATGCTCTGAAAGGTAATCGCGTAGATTTCCATTTTCTACATATTTCGTTACCAAAAATGTTTTATCATTTGGAGATTTTACCACGCCACAAAACTCAACTATGTTTTCGTTTTTAAGCTTTTTATGTTTCCTAAATTCATAAATAATTTCATTCATCTTGGCACTATTGAATTGCTTAACTAAAAAAATTCAAATATATTAAAGCATTTGGATTCGTCATAACCAAGTAGAAGACAATGAAATGAGGATAATACCAGCGATTCTAATTCCCTTATATTCTCCGAGGGTAACCTCGCCAAATGATCCTTGACCAAGCTTTGGTCCTGTCCAATTAATATCTTCATAAGAAATTAAAATATCGTTCATGCTAAAGTAACTTCTAAATAGTAAATAGTAAGTTGGTTCTAGAAAGTGTAACCATTCATATATTTATAATTTAAATGGTTACCAATAATGATAAAATCTCAAATTTGTACGTACGTGCTTTCAAGACTCCGTTGTGTAATTTAGGACAGATGGGCAGTGGTTTTTATCGATTTTTAACAGCCGCTCTACCCTTTTTAGTGCGTCAGGGTACGTCGAGTGTAACAGGGTCTGCATAAGAAGAGCATCTTCCTACGTTACGATGGGGTGTCCAATGTACTATGTAAATCAAATCTATTACGAAAATCTATTATAAATTTTTTTTCGTGTAACATGCATATAAAATACTGCGGAAAAAAATTTTTTCGTGTCACATGCATATAAAATACTGTGGAAACAGTTTTAATTTCGACGAACATTCGTCTTTTTATTAATTTTTTTTGGTTATGAAAAAAGCTCACCATTACATTAAAATATACTGTCTACTGAATTCTCATATGAAATTTCTAAACAAGTTATTATGTAGAATATCGAGAAAATCCAATTTGAAATATATAAGAAATCACCATATTTCAAATTGTATCTCCTCGACAGTTTACATATTAATCTATTTAGAAATTTCACATGAGAGTTAAGTGAATAATATCTTTTAATTAAATGAAGAGTTTTTTTTCATAATCAAAAATCTAATAAAAAGACTTAAGCTATTTCCGCAGGATGTTTATGATTAACGCGAATATTATAATTTATTATTTTTTAGTTTATAAAAAAAAGACTCTTCATTTTATTAAAATATATTATTCACTAAACTCTCATACGAAATTTCTAAATAGATTAATATGTAGACTGTCGAGGAGATACAATTTGAAATATGATGATTTCTTATATATTTCTACATAATAACTTGTTTAGAAATTTCATATGAGAATTCAGTGGATAGTATATTTTAACGTAATGGTAAGCTTTTTTCATAACCAAAAAAAAACAATAAAAAGACGAATTTTTGTCGAAATTAAATCTGTTTCCGCAGTATTTTACGTTGTGAACGGTAAAAGATCGTCAGATCGGTGGCTCCTAAATCGAGTACGTCGTATAACCACTTAGGGTTAATATCGGTCGAAAGAGGCGTGTTAGATTTGGCGAGTGGTCAACGGGATTATATTTGGGTTCTCTTAACAAAAGGGAAGTTTCGGGTTGGTTATTAGGTAAGTGTATTGACGGAAGTTAGTGTTTACAGGTTAGGGACAGATTATGTATTAGCGAATGTATTATTTTATTTGTCAAGGGCGGGAATTGTTGTTCTTCCCAAAGGGCCTCTTGGCCTTTATTTATAATTGTAGAGTTCTATTTACATTATGCGATGGATACGACTGATATCTTTGAAGCTACTGATCAGTCGTATCCTACTGATATTTCCCTTCTGACCGATCGCTGCTATCTGTCGCATTCGTCACATGCGTCACATGCGACTGATCGGTCGCATGCGACGGATGCGACGGATGCGACTGATGCGATCGAGTCCTTCCCTAATTTAGCAATGGGCCCCCAACCGACAAGGGTCCATTCAGGTTCCACATTTCTCTCCGACTTAAGGTCGAGTTCCACGAGACAAAGTCAAACCACCGGGGCTTCTCCACCAGGATCGAAGACGCATAGTCTACACTTTGGTGAGTGTCGAAGGGCTTTACGTTTATCCTTTTCAACTTCAATTCCATCCTTCTTGATCTTGGTTCCATTGTAGTCAAATATCGTATTATCGTTATCATTAACACCATCATTATTGACTTTCTTTTCATCTTCCGTATCTTCAAATTCCTGATAAAAATCAGGTTTGGACTCCTCAACTGCATGTTCTATATCCGCAGGCCTTTGATGATCCATCTTGATTGGTTCATTATTCAGTCCAGCTGGGTCTTCTTTTTTCAAATACCGTCCAAGTGCTTTAGGATCATCCTTTTCAACTTCAATTCCAATGTTCGGTGCCTCTTCTTTGGCGTTGGCAGGGTCTTTTTGGTTGTCTAGGATCAACAGTCCATACAAATTACCCTCTTCAGCCTTTTCTGAATATCATTCAAGTTCTTTAGGATCATCCTTTTCAACTTCAATTCCAATGTTTGGTGCCTCTTCTTTGGTGTTGGCAGGGTCTTTTTGGTCGTCTAGGATCAACAGTCCATCTGAATTACCCTCTTCAGCCTTTTCCAAATACCATTCAAGTCCTTTAGGATCGTCCTTTTCAACTTCAATTCCAATATTCAGTGCTTCTTCTTTGGCATCGGCAGATTCCTTTATGAGGTCGTCTCAGATTAATCTCCTAAACTCATCAACTCTTCTATTCCAATCTTCACAGGATTGATCCAGGTTTTTCAATGTGAAACATTGCACATCAGGGTTCTTGCACTCAGCCTTTTCAACTTCAATTCCCTTTTTATAACCAGATCCAACATAATATGCACCATCAGCATTCCACCTTTCCGCAGGTTTTTGATAGCATCCAAAGGTTTTATGTCCATCCTTTTCGACTCCGATTCCATAACAACACTCACCAATATTCATCATATCTCTTTCAGCTTCAGCAGGTTCTTTTTCAGTAAGTCCTTCTCTTTCCTTTTTCTTGATTGCTTTATTTATCTTGGCTGGTTTCTGGCAATAATCGGATGTCTTATTTTTTTCTTCTTTAACCCCACTTTCCAGCAGGGATTCTAGGACCTCTTCCCAGGCCCACCTTTGTACAGGAGCTTCACATTCAGTAACATGAAGTTTTTCTACAAATTCATCAGGATCGGCATAGGCATTAAGTATCGCAGGTGTTAGTTGTCGAATCTTTGAGGGTAGGTATACTATTTTCTCTATTTTGTCTTTATCATTTAGAAAGACGTTTTCTAACATTTCCAATATAATTTTCAGGGCCTGGAGAATTTGCCTTTCATCAAGTCTTCGATCACCAAAGGTTTTGTTGATAATTCGTTGAAACTCTTGGGCTTGTTTGTCGGTAAATGTTTCGAATAGATCAGCACACTTTTCTTCCAATGTTCTAACTTCTGGACATTTACTAACAGCAGATTTTCTTATCATGCAATAAGGACACCAGGTTTCTTTTTGGAAGTGCCTTCGGATTCGTCCATGGCTTGGGACTTGCTGAAAATGGGTCTCTCTTATCCTGCCTTCTAGTTTCCAGGATGTTGGGTAAGTTCTATACATTTCTTTTCTTTCTTTCTTCATATGGTCTTTTACTTCTAACTTCTCCTTTTTTATTCTATAGGTTGGTCTGACATTCTGATGTATTGGTTGGGATCTTGAATGTGCTCTGATTTGGGCATTAATCATGGTAAGTCTTTCGTTTATCCATTCTAGTTGTTGGTATAGTTCTTCCATATCATTAACATTTCTAACCTTATTTTTCTTTCTATCCCCTCAATTACCACTTTACTTCAGATAATTGGACTAATCGTATAACCACAACTATCGCATTTCAGATAATTGAGCACAAGTCATCACAGCTGATCCTAGTACTTTAGAATACTACAGTTGGACAGGGCAACAATAATTCAAGGTAGGAATATTTCGGATCTCACAGTCATCACCAAATTGTAAACAGTAAAAGATTGTCAGATTGGTGGCTCCTAAATTGAGTATGTCATATAACCACTTAGGTTTAATATCAGTCGAAAGAGGCATGTTAGATTTGGCGAATAGTCAACAGAATCATATTTGGGTTCTCTTAACAAAAGGGAAGTTTCAGGTTGGTTATTAGATAAGTATATTGACGGAAGTTAGTGTTTACAGGTTAGGGACAGATTATGTATTAGCGAATGTATTATTTTATTTGTCAAGGGTGGGAATTGTTGTTCTTTCCAAAGAGCCTCTTGACCTTTATTTATAATTGTAGAGTTCTATTTATATTATGTGATGGATATGACTGATATCTTTGAAGCTACTGATCAGTCATATCCTACTGATATTTCCCTTCTGACCGATCGCTGCTATCTGTCACATTCGTCACATGCGTCACATGTGACTGATCGGTCGCATGCAACGGATGCGACAGATGCGACTGATGCGATCGAGTTCTTCCCTAATTTAGCAATGGGCCCCCAACCGACAAGGGTCCATTCAGGTTCCACAACGTGTATGTTATATGAAAACTTTTTATAATTAATTTCTATATAGGACTACATATAGATTTGATTTACATAGTACATTGGGCACCCCAACATTATGAATACAAAGTAAAATTTCCAATTATATCATATAATTGGAAATTTACTTTATATTCGCAACATAGGAAGATGCTCTCCTTATATAGACCCATTCAGGATCAGAATAGGCTGAAATTGATCAATTTCTCTCATCATACAAATTTTTCTAATAAAGTGGTAGTCTATGTACTAAGTATTCTAGAATGCATTGCTCAATTATTGTGTCTCTGTGAATTTTGATAAGATATTTTAATTTTAAGTAAATTGTTATTTAGTAAACCTTAATGCTAGTGATTTTGTAAGAAGCACGACTGAACACTGTGACACAGAACCTATACAGTCTAACTTCCATATAGTCACCCTTTATATAGTCACAAATTCAATATAATTACAATGTTTCATTTATCAACTTGTTTCATATTATTTTGACAATTTTGACTTTATATTATAAAAATTTAAAATAAATTAGATCCATCAAATTTGGTCAAGAACTCGTGGAGATATCATCGATCAAAGTTTTTTTTTTCATTTTTAAAAACGTCTATTATAAAGAAGCTGTACTAAAATTGTTTACAAGAACTTTAATCAATGATATCTCCACATGTTCTTGACCAAATTCGATGAAATTTTTTTATTTGAATTCTATGGATCCATAGAATTCAAATAAAAAAATTTCATCGAATTTGGTCAAGAACATGTGGAGATATCATTGATTAAAGTTCTTGTAAACAATTTTAGTACAGCTTCTTTATAATAGACGTTTTTAAAAATGAAAAAAAAACTTTGATCGATGATATCTATATGAGTTCTTGATCAAATTCGATGAAAATTTTTTTATTTGAATTCTATAGATTCATAGAATTTAAATAAAAAAAAATTCATTGAATTTAGTCAAGAACTCATAGAAATATCGTCGATGAAAGTTCTTATAAACAATTTTGATACAGCTTCTTTATAATAAACATTTTTAAAAAACTTGATCAATGATATCTCCGCAAGTTCTTGACCAAATTCAATGAAAATTATTTTATTTGAATTCTATGGATCTATAGAATTCAAATAAAAAAATTTTCATCGAATTTGGTCAAGAACTCATGGAGATATCGTCAATGAAAACTTTTATAAATAATTTCAGCACAGCTTCTTTGTAATAGACATTTTTAAAAGTAGAAAAAAACTTTTATACCAGTACGATCACATTTGATGTTTAACATGAAATGTGAGAGAGATGGTTTTGTTTCGACATTATTGATGTCGCTTATGCTGATTTTCGAAAAATCCTTTTTTAGTAGGCATAATGATTTTCATTTATTCATTTTAGAAGCAGTTAAGATTATTGCATACTGTATGACATAACTCTATATATAGATCATGCAATATGATGCAACACTGACATTATCGTTATTGATTAATTTTGAACTTTATTATGATGCAAAATTAATGTTGTAATCATAAATCGGCAAGCCGGTCACTCCAACTTATCCAGTTTCGTGTAACTACTATAGATGGTTACTAACAGGTCGAAAGAGGCATGTTAGATTTGGCGAGTGGTTTTTTAAATGATTGTAGGTTGTAGCATGTATTTATGACTTATTTGCTTTATTATTTAGGTAAGGTCTCTCTTTTATTTGCAAAAGGGAAGTTCTGCTTTTCCTAAGGGCCAAAACGGCCTTTATTTATAATGAGTATTTCTTTATATAATTATGAAGTTCTATCTTTTCTAAATGTTCTCTTAGAAGCTCCAATAAAGTCTAAACAGGCCTTATTGAATATTATTTCATAATTTCCGAAACACATCATAAACCCTAATCTGGTCTTATTACCCATTATTCCATTTCCGGCATTTCTGTATTTCTGCCAGAAATGGATAATCCAATTTTTCTGGCTGGTGTGAAAGTTGGTACTAGTTCTAGTTAGAACTCGACTTTCAGAATGGTTACACAAGGAACTAAGGCTATATACTATGCTAGAAGCTACTATCCGGTACACCAAAATTCTTAAATGGCAGGCTTCAATCGAGGCGTGGAAAGATATGGTCTGAGTTTTAGGTCCTTTAGGTGTATTGCTGCGGTTGATTTGGTACTAAGATTACTCCTTAGGATAAGTATTTGATTCTTACTTAGGTCCCTCTGCTACTTCTAATATTACTATAGTACTTTTACTATAGTACTCAATTTTTACTTTCTCTAGTGCAGGTCACAGAATTGGAATCACAGGAATAAGAAATAATAATAACGAATTTTACTATTGATTATTATTAGTATTTACTCATATTCAAGACTTCTACTAAATACTCTTCGAAGTACTATTCTGAACTCTTCGTGAGTTGTTTTTATTTGAGGTAAAATTGATTATTTATATATGTTATTTTTACATATGTGTATAAAGAATATATCTAATTTAAACATTCTTTCGCTCTTATTTTACCCTTCCCACTTATTTTATCTTTCGTATAGATCGACCCCTTTTACTTTATCTAATTGATTTGGTCGATCCACTCGTTTTGAGAAATAACATAAATAAAATAAATAAGGAAAATAGAAAAAATAGAAGAAAAAAAAAGTTTGTGCTACGTTGGATGCATAACACCACCGGAGTGAACGATTTCGACCTTTACACCGGTGTGAGTGGTAGGATGGTGACGACAGAAGCTTGTTGAAGCAGGTGATCGACGTGGCACAATAATAGTATGAACAGTAGGATGGTAAGGCCGGAAGCTCATTTAAGCAGGTGATCAGTGTGGCACAGTAACGAATAAATAGCTATGTCTATCACTTACCTTAAATGGGTTTCCCAGTGTAAGCTGTAAAACATGATCCCAGAAGCATGTAGAAGGAGATGATCGAGGTGGTGCAGTAATAACCAACAGCTATATCAATCACCTACCTAATATGGGCTTCTCGAGATTATCGCTCCTAAAAGTCGTATAGAATCTTTAGCAATTATAAGGGTAATAGCAGTGATAAGTGTTTTAAGAGATAACTATGATTAAAGGGATATACGGGGGTTATAGGTTTTAAATAGTAAGGAATGTTAGAGAAATATAAGTGGGATAATATATTTAATAGCTTTAATATGTTTAATACCTTAAAGAGCGCATATGTAATTAACAATATATAATAAAGGCTTCACGCTTTACAAGGACAGTTCAGTTAGTGCTTATCATAAATTTCATCCTATAATAATTCCTTGTTTAATTATAATATAAAACCTATGACCATAAACATACCACTCGCCAAATCTAACTGCCTCTTATCGACTAAGCCATTTGTAGATTATACGACATATCTGATTGACAAGCGACTGACTTGCCATTTCGCTTGTGCCATTTTGGTGGTGACTGTAAGATAGAACATCCTCAAACAGCCAGACTGTGAGGCCCCAAGACCAAACGTGAAGAGAGAACAAATTAGATTAAAGAGAAAAGAGTGATATATTAGTATTTGGAAATGAAAACAGAAAAACAATAAAATTGTAAAATACTTACCCAAGATGACAAAGACATATACGATGTTTACTCACTGTCGATGTTTAACCAACCCCGAAGGAAAGTTGAAGCCCGAATGGCGAAGACATCGCAAGTCCTATAGAATTCTTAATCAGTTAGAAGAAGCCCTCGACAAGAAGTTCAATGTTCCTATTGTAGAAAAGAAAACTACATCGTTAGTAGGTGCTCAAAAATAAAAATGATGCAACTGGAATGTCTGGAATTGTTGAACACACTTACCCAAGAACAAGTCACAGAAATTCAGGCAATTGTTGATGAAACCATGAGAACCAGTAGTTTTTATGACCCGCAAGCCTTAGAGCATTTAATAAAAATAGTAGAAGATGTTAGCTGAGAAAACAACCTGAATAATGATACTAAAGAAGAAATTATATACCTACTCTTGTATGAACCTGCTTCTTACAATCGTTCCCGCCTTATATCCTATGAAGACTATGCTACAACACCATTTGTAAAGAAAAGAAATCCACCTTGACAACCAACACCTATGGTACCCGACGCCTATGAAAACCCTGAAGAATTACTTGACTTAGAATACCATCTTTGACGATTAGTTACTGAATACGAAGCTCTTATACAGAAGTGGGCCCTAGAAGAAGTCCTAGAGTCTCTGCCAGAAAGTGGCATTAAAAAGAGGAAGAAGGACTTACAGGAAAAGAACCCGCCAA